TTTTAATATCAGGATGACGTATGAGCGCCCCATTTAACTTCTGAACAACAAAGCAGCCAATAGAATTATTTATTCTTTTTCTAGATTTCTCTGCAGCTTCGCTGGAAATCATGTAACGCCAGTATTTGCGAGGGAGTATATTTGACCATACTAGAAGTGTGTTTGGTAATTTTTTGTGAAGGGAGGCTAATAATGCCTTCATGGCTAGTTGTAGTTTTTTAAGGGGCTGAAGGCCAATACTGTTACCGCCACAGTGAACTATTAGCATTTGAGGCATGATATCATTATGACGATTTATCAATCTGGCAATGTGTTGATCAAGTTGCTCCCATTTTAGTCCCCCAGATCCAGACCAGGTAACATCTATCTTTAAGTGCTCCAGAGACAAGTTTTGGCCAATTGTTGAACGTATGCAGTAATCTTCGGCTCGTCTGATAATGGAAGATCCAACGATCCATACCTTGCAGCAAGTCCCTGCAAACTTAGCTTACAGTTAGTAAGACTATTTACAGGACTACAGTATTCGGGCGAACATAGGACTTGAAAGCATTGGATTTCCATCTACCCATTGTTTTAATTTCTTGCTCTGGAGTACCTTGCATATACAATGAGGTTGCCGCCCCTATGCGAAATGAATGTGATTTGAATGTTGATGTGTCAAGCTTGAGGAATGATAGAGCTTTCTTTAGTACTTGATTGAATTGATAGTATGTCATGGGCGAGCCATCCATGTGACATAAAAACTGCGATGTTTGAGTTTGTGATGGTCTATGGGTCATGTAAGCTTGTATGTTGTGAAATAGGACCTGATTTTGCTTTGTGCTGTTAATTTGCATTGTTGTGCCCTTGCCATGCTGATCTGTTTTGGTTTTCCCTAATGTGATCAGTATGGATGATTGTGATATGGATACGTTTTGTATTGACAATGGGGAACTGGGGGGGTTTGCCTTAGTGGAAGTTATCTCCCCGACTCTAAGTAAAGCGAAGAATGCAAGGCCATAAGCAGAGGAGAAGAGTAATTTCTCGTAATAATTTCGGCATACGTGTTGCAAAGAATCTATTATCTTAACTAATAGGGGAAATGTTATCGGGCTTCTTGAATCTTTTCTATGTTTGAGTTGTTTAAAGCCATGGAGCATTTTCTTGACTATGAAAAATTGACATGGGTCTGGGAAGTTACCTAGTTTTATGGTGAAGCTTAAGCCTGCTAGGTACGTTTTGGCTGTAGTGTATGTTGTCCCCTTTGATGATAGGTAAGCGATATAGTTTATTAATTGGTCTACGGGAGGGGGCCACAATTCCTTCAAGTTAAAAAGTTTTCTAAATTGTGAAAAAATGTCGAGACCTTTCTGGTATATTTCTTGAGTGTTATGGGAGACTGATGCTCTGAGTAGCTGTTCTACTTCCTGCTCAAATGGTTCCAGAATTCCGGAGGAACTTGGCAGGGATAGTAGTCTGTGTGGGGGGCCAGCTTCCTGAACTTTAGCCACTGAAAACGAGATATGGCATCAGCAATAGAATTGGAATGACCTGGTATGTGTTCGCAGCGCACTTGGATATTGTATTTTAATATTTTGTAAAGAAAGGGTCTGAGAAGGGACATAACTCTTGGTGACTTTGATGTTTTTTGGTTGATTATCTCTACAACTGCCATGTTATCGATATGCAAAATTATTTTTCTGCCTTGGAGTTTGTGGCCTCATATGTAAATTGCAAGAGCGACTGGGACTAACTCCAGATAGGTTAGATCTCTATAATCCTGATGTGACCATTCTGAGGGCCATTGAAGGTAGGACCATTGTGAACCAAATATGACCCCACATCCGAGTGAGCCGGAGCTGTCAGAGGATATGTGGATAGTGTCCTTATCTGACCAACGCATATCTGGGAATACAGTAGTGCCATTGAAGTCAGACAAAAACTCGAGCCATATAGCTACATCTTCACGAAGTGCCCTTGATATAGTGATATAATGATATTTTTTGTGTCCCTGTGATAGGCTATCATAGAATCGTCTACAAAAGGCTCTCCCGGCGGGTATTGCCTTGGAAATAAATGCCAGGGATCCGACTAATGATTGCATTTCTTTTAGTGTAATTTTGCGACGCGAGGCAACATTCTGAAGTTAGGCTTTAAGGGCGTCAAGTTTATCTTTAGGAGCAAAGATGGTTTGGTTGCTGGTATTGATCCCTAACCCTAGAAACGTTAAACATGTTGTAGGACCTTCGGTTTTTTCCTCTGACAAAGGAACGCCGAGAGTTTCGCAAATTATGTCAAACGTTTGCATGAGGTTTTTGCACACAAGGGTGTTTGCGGGGCCTGCAAAAAGGAAATCATCAAGGAAGTGGACTAATGTGTCAATTTTGGCTCGATCTTGTACGATCCAATGGAGGGCTGTTGCAAATTTTTCAAATGTGGCACAAGCTATAGAACATCCAAATGGGAGGCATTTATCGAAATAATAATTTTTAAAATGAAAGCCAAGCAGGGAAAAGTCTTCTGGGCGAATAGGAAGGAGTCTGAATGCACTAGAAATGTCTTTTTTGCCTAGTAGGGCACCCTGGCCCAGTTCTTTTATCATTCTTACTGTCGAGTCAAATGATGTATAATGAACAGTGCATAGATCTGGGTCAATAAAATCATTAACGCTATTTCCCCCAGGTGCAGATAAGTTACAAATCATACGCCAACCCCCCTGCTTTTTGGGAACAATACCTATTGGGCTGCACTTGACATTTGACATGGGAATATTTTTGAAGGGCCCAGCTATTCTGCCTAATTTTACCTCTTGATCGATTTTTTCTTGAAGCTGATGTGGATTTGTCTGCGCAGATTTCATGTTTTTAGATTTTTGAAATTCCCGAATACCCGAATAGTGAATGTTGAAACCAGCTTGAAAACCATTGATCAATTCATGAGCTATGTGTTGTAATGGGTAACTTTTAAGCATTGATTTTAAGATGTTAACGTTGACTGGTGTTGGAGCCAAGTCCCAGAGACCTTGGGTGGTTTGGAGGGAGCCCTCTACCCTGAAATCTGCTTGGGGGCTGGCGGGTTTGTTCTGCTTGGGACAGTCGAGAGCTCTCTGTGCGAAATGGCTGATTGTTGTGCCAGCGGCAGTTTATGAGTGGGTGACTATTGGAGCATTTTATGCATGCATGTTGATAAGTGCAGTATGGTTTGCCGCATGTACCTTTGTAATTGAAGTCAAAGCATTTGGGTGATTTAGATGTATGATTAGGTGCTTGCTGGAATAGGGTGGTTTGGCCATGGGTCACATACAAAAGCCACAATTCTGCATCGACAGACCCCCAGTCCAGTGTGTGGTTTCTAGATCGCTTTAACCTGAACTGTACGTCGTAATTGAGCCAGTTTAAGTTTGTTGATCGCTGCGCAGCAGTGCGTATGATGTTAATGTATTTAAGTATTGACTGAATGTGTTCTGGGAACTTAGTTAGGTATATGCTGGTAAATATTAGGAATGCGTTTGTCCATGTTTCTATTGATGTTATTTTGATTTCCTTATGTTTGGGTTTCAAGACTAGTTCACCATTAACAAATGCCAGCTGTTGCTGGGGCTCGTCATTTGGTTTGAGGGGGAGCAATTTGTGCAGGTGAATGAATGCATTATCAAAGATATTTTGCCTCAAGCTATCCGAGACATGCACGCCCAAAGCGTCTGAAACGCTGTTTAAAGCATTTGGTGTATTTGTATAAAAATTGATATTAGTACATGATGCTGATGTACCTGCAGAGAATACTGAGGGGTCAGATGCTGCCATTATTGATGTAGCTGGTGCTGTCATCTCCGGAGTTTGGGCTGATAGAGCTGGTGCTGTCAAAGCTGACGTTTGGGCCGATGGAGCTGGTGCTGTCAACACTGGAGTTTGGGTTGATGGAGCTGGTGCTGTCAACGCTGGAGTGTGGTTTTCCTGGATGTCATGCTGAGTTGACACAACTGGTACTGTGGGTGCGGGTGTGACCTGGATCCGTCTCGTCGTAGTATTAGATATTTTCGCCTTTTTGGCGGCAGCTTGGGCGCGTCCGGGTCTAGCGTATGGTGATTTGGAGACTCTTTTTGTACGGAGCATTTTTCTGCAAAACAAACGACTGTGTAATCTCGTGTTTACCATTGTACGTTTTTTTTTTTTAATTATTATTATTATTATTTTAAATTAGTTGCTTGAGTCTGTGACTGATTATGTGCCAATATTATCGTAAACTGAGCAGGAAAAAACAAAATAAGTTTAAACCGATTTCTTTGTTATAGTTGAAATGGCGCCATTAATAGATGGTGATCTTGAATTGAGCCAGCTAAATCCGCTGGCATCTGAAGATGCTGAGGCGAAGGAAACGCCCAATTCGCTTCCAATGCCTCACCGGGTGTTTAATACATACCGATGTCCTGAGGAGCGATACTTATACAATACAATAATCCTCTTGATTGAGATAGGGCTGGAAGCTGATTTCTTAGCGATGTTCTCTGTTCAAAATTGATGAAGCGGAAAGGATGTGCGCGCAAGCGCATTTAATGACCTGGGGATATTTGGGAAATTTGGTTGAAGCCAGGAGAGTTATCGCGCTTAGGCTATTCTTCTTCGATAACTGGCACTTACTGCACATAGCAGTAAATGCAATTAACTTTTAAAAATTCTGTTATTTTGTTCTATGTACAATTGTATACATTTTTGTGTGTTTTTTCCCCTTCAACGTCCCCACTATAATATTTTGTCATGTTAGTATATCCCCGTCCTTGACATCACGTTCGCCATTACGTAAGTAAACACGTGATCAACAGAAACACGTTTGGTGTCAACACGATTTTGTGTTTGGAGAATTTCCCTTTGAAATGGTAAATATTGCGCATTAAAAGATTATATGAAAGAAAACACTTTGCTGACATGCTGATCATTCAATGAATAAATTTGAAAATATTTTCTCTTCTTTTTTGCTTCAGTTGAAGATTAATATACCCGAGGCACTGCCAAATTTATCACCGGTTTAGTTTCGTATATCTCACTTCCGGCGGCCATAATATCAAAAATAGAAAGCGGTGGTGATCTTTATTTAATTTACCACGCTACAAAGATGGGTTCCAATCCCGTTCCAGCTTTTTTGACAAAGCTTTGGACACTTGTTGAAAACCCTACATGTGATGACCTTATTTGTTGGGACGAAGTAAGTTTTACCTAGTTTTGTTAACGCAGAAAGTTAAAGTTCAGTGCTGAAGTAGGTACTGAAATTGTCTTGAAGTTGAAGTCTTGTATTTAGTTTAAATAATTTCAGATGTTGTCATTGTCAGTCTTGATGAAATTCTTTTGACATTTAGTAACAGACAAGTTAGATAATGTAATAAGTGAATGAACCCAGGGTACTGGAAAAATGACATGAAGTATTTATCAAGACTGACATACAGCCATTACAGGATTCTGATATGTTATATTTATTTAACTCAATTTTTACTGAAGATAGATTAGAGAGGACTGTCAAATGACAAAAGACTAAGTGCAGAAAGACAAGGTACCTGTCAGGCCCTCATCAATATATATTCTAAATTCATGATATTGATATTAGAACAGTCTATGCGAAAGACATCGGACCGTTGGACCTGACTGATGTGCAGTGCCTCTGGTCTGATGCGTCTTTTTTTACACCGGACAAGAATGTCCAATGTGTCAGTGTCCAGTTTTGAGCATTGTTATTTTGATGCAGTATCATTTAAATGTTTGTTACAAGTAAAAATATATCGCAGAAATCAAAATATGTAAATGAATGTCAGATTAAAACCGCATGGTCCATCTACAGTATTATGCAGGAGTGATCCCTTGTTAAAGAAAAGCTGTTAAGCTAGTCTACTACTCTGTATTTTCACATGTTTCACCTTTTTTACATTAGTTTTTTTTGGTCTGACAAAATTTGGTTTGGTCCTGTGTGTTCATTGATTATACACAGGACCAAATGTCCTGTGTGGTCCAAAAAACTTTCGCATAGACTGTTAGAATAATTCATAGTATGCTTATCCGCTCTGTTCCCTATTACACATAAAGTAAACACACAAGGGAAGAACTGGAAGTCGCATACAATTTGTAAACGAAGTAGAAAAAAAAAAACTTACTTGAGAAAAGTTACTCAAATCCTAATATGCACTAGTGCAAATGATGTCCTAGAACTTATCCAGGCTAAAATATTCCAAATACCTGTATATCCAATGTAAATAGTTTTTATCCGTTATAAAATCCCAGCTTTCTTCAAAGTTTTGAACTCTTAGGCCCAGAAAAGATAACTTTGTGCATCCATGACAACTATTGTTTTTCGGAAACTTTCGGGACTCTTTGTATCAAGAGTGGTAATCTAATTCGGTAGTGAAATGTCTGAAAAAATATTTGTCTTATGGTAAGCATGAAGATAATATGATTTTAGAGTCATTTAATTATCAAAATTTATTGCACTCTTTTGATTTTAAAATTTGAACAATCAGTCCACATTTTCTCACCATTTGTTACTGACTTCAAGTTTATCTATGTTTTCTTATTTGTGTTTTCATTTGGAACGCTATATATTTACTAATCACAGTTTTTGCATAAATTACATGACAAATGCACCGGACAAAATCTATCATTAAACCCTGTATTTAGGACAAGGTCATTTTTATAAATTAGTTAAGGATAGACCTTTCTAGTCCTATATAGCTATGATGTAGCAAAGCAAGCAATTCAGGTCTGGCACAATTTAACAAGATATAAATGATATTGCACTGAGAGTCCCAGATTAATTTTACAAACCTCTAGATGTTCTACATCTTCGCTAGCCAAGGGTTTCTGATACGCTACGCTCCCCATAAACCCTAAGGGCTTGGCATACGGTGCTTACAAAAGATGAGATTGTTTTCGTCATGTGATCACGCTTCTTGCCAGGTACGCACAGATTGCGTCATCGACAGAAATAAAAAGCCTATTCAAAAATATAATGTTTTTGAAGAATAATTAACAAGAAGGTATTGAGTTATGTTAATTTGTTAAACATGTTCAAATGCAAATCTGCATCTTCAGTATAGATTCTTAATCACGTATTTTGTATGTAGCTTACACCATATAGCTATTCATAGAATGGCATGTTATCTTACGGATCATTGTTTACTTGCGTTTTTCATTCCTGATATTAAAGAGTCAAGATATATCCCGAACGCAAATATCGTCATTTACAAAAAAAACAATTGCTGATTGGTCAAATGATGTCGATCAACTCCAATCACAGCTTGAGAAAAAAAATCCCAACTTTTTTTAACACCATATGCCAAGGGCTTATGAGGAGAGTAGCGTATCAGAAACCTTTGGCTAGCGAAGATGGATGTTCTAGTGTCTTTTATCCAAGAATTAGTCCTACAAACATGATAAAGGAAACTAAATAGTTGTGTTAGAATAAGAAATCAAAACTACATGTTTATATCCAGATTGTAGATGTTTTGTAACCTATAATATTTTGTAGTCAAAACCAATGCTGGTGAAGATTTGGAAATTTAGTAGATTTTTTTTTGTTTTGTTCTGAATTCAATCATTTTGGATTCTATAATTGGTAGCAAAATAGGCAAAATGATTAAATTTTTATTTTAGTTTACCTTCAGCTAATATCAACATGATCAAGCGCTGCATTGACTGTATGGATGAGAAATTTTTGTAAGGATTGCTTTGAAGTAAACAAAACTACCAATTTCCAGATTATCTGAACATTTGTAGATTTGATTCTGATATTTTGGATTTAATTCAGAGTAAAAATAAAGTGAAAGCCTTTCTGTTTGAATGGTTAGATACTTTATGCTCTGTTAATAGAATATCATAAGTTCACCAGTTCAACGTTGTTCATCAGTGGGGCTGTATTGAACCAAAAAAATTTGATGATATGACACAATATGATATTTTATAAAGCAATATCTGATATATTGGAGTCATATATATAATGTATTTAATGATTGAAATTCCCAAGTTTTACACTGAAGTCAAAGACAGACTGTCTGCGTGACCAGACAAGTACATAAGTGGAAGTTTATGTTTAATACAGTACACCTTTGAGTATCAGTACATGTTCATATTGATACAGCCCTATTCCTCAGGAGGAGACTTGTACATATATGCATGTATCTATAGGCAACATACTATGCAACCTCCTGTCTGTTCTGTTTAATAATGAAAAAAAAAATTATATATTTTTTTTTAAAAATTAACATTGTTCAACATGCATGTTCAAGTAAAATAAGTTGAATTTGATACAGGTTGTGAAAATAATGTATTTATTCATGTATGTAATATTGAACTAAAATTTTTTGAGATTTTAAGTATTTCTGACAAGCTGTTCTCATGATATTTTGAATTCATGCTGCATCAATCAAGGCCCATTCCTGGTTCTTCATGTGAAGGGGGTGGGGGTAGGGTGGGGTCATTTCCATTCAGAAAGAATTCTATATGAAAACTTCAGGAATTTAGGAAGTTCTCCCTTTCAGCTGACTTATCATTTACGTTGTCAATTTAATAAAAGTGTAAATTCCTATTGGTAATATGCACATTGCTGTGTGTTTTGAGTTTTATAAAATGATAAATACGTCCAGAGTTTAAACCATCTAGAAATTTCTAATACATTTGTATACACAATTCGATCAAGTTCCAGGCTGAACCTTAGCTGGCAATTATAAGCAGATATCTTTATCAGAATGAAGATTATTCAATAAATATGCAATTACACAGAGAGCTATTTATAGCTCATGGGAGTAATGTTAACTGAGACTTTATTGTATTATTCAAGGTTATTAACTGATGTGTATGTCATCAAGACATATTATTTAGTTCTTTATTTCCATGATTATAATCTGTGATCTTTGCAATATCTGCCTATTACTTGTGAGAATAGAATCAGTTGACATTGAGAATGCCACAAACAGCTGTAATGTCTTTTCTAATCAATTTGTCAGGCAGCGGAATAAAAACCCTACCTGCTAACATAAACAAAAACACAGACTGAATGCATCAGCGATTTTTTCTCATGAATATGTATATATCAAAGTTATGAATGTATGCCATGAAAACATGTCTAATCAATGCACATTTCTGTATCATATTGCTTGATTTCATGAAATAATTTTGGAAGTAAATAAAGGGATCAATTAAATGAATTCCTTTACTTGTCCTTGGTTTAGGAATTCAGGAAGAAAGTGCATGATCGACTGTTTTTTTTTCAGTGTTAATTAAATGTCGTCCTGCTCTATAAGGTTGTGACTTATTTGTACTTGGAATAGGGAACGCTAAGTAAACAGTCGGAAGTGGTGGATCCAACATGTCTAAGGGGTTGACATGCTTTATAAGGAGGAATAGTACATATGTATCACCATCACTTGCTTTGTTGACCAAGACATCTTCATTTGTTGAAAAACACAAATCTTTATTTGCTTTAGTACCCTATGATAAAATGTTTGATTGTACACTCAATAATCACAGATCAAGGGTATTTATAGTTGTCAGAGTGTCTGATTGTCTTTGGGTACGCTGAAGGAGATTGGTAAAAGAGAGTGACATGGCCTCATTTTAGTCAGATCAGGTCATGCAAATGGTCAAGGACAGGTGTACAAAAGTTACATTACAGAAGTTTCACTGCATATTAGTACTGATACTGTGTTTCTCAAATTTATAAATCTGTTATTAATTGATTCTGATTAATAGAATTTAATCAGAGCACAATTTATTCTTACTCATTGCTCATCTAAGTATTTCATGTTTGTAATTTTGATTGTACATGCACCTGTTCTACATACTTCTTATCTTGCAGTCTGGAAAAAGCTTCCATGTGTTTGACCAGGGAAGATTTGCTAAGGAGATTTTGCCTCTTTACTTCAAGCACAGCAACATTGCCAGTTTTATTCGGCAATTGAATATGTGTAAGTATATCTCAACCCCCCCCCCCCCCCCCCCCCCCCCCCAAACCACCACCATCAACACACACACACACAGTAAAAAAAATACTCGTAAAAAGAAATGGTGAAGAAAAAATTTATAAAGCAAATTATATCAAATGATAGTTCACATCTAAAATAGTTTAGTTTGATAATGAATGTTTCTTTGCAATGGAGGCAGATAAATTATAATACATGTTCCTTACTTTTTTGGAGGCAATCAATGATAATAAGGTTGGACAACTAACTCATAAAATATTGATCATGTTGATAGCTAGGAAACCTCTGGAGGTTATATTTTTCCAACTGTGCACACACACACAATAAGAACTTAATTTTTGAGGTAAATTAAATAATCAGTCATACTGTCTCTTTGCAATATCTTCACCAAACTTAATAATCCTTTTGAAAGAAATGGAAATCAAAACTGAATCATATATTTCTTTTACTAGCACTCTCCACTCAGTATCCTGCAGACAGAGATAGATATCATTGAGTAATTATCACCTTTATAGTTAACGTACATCTTTATTGAAAAACAACTATTGCCATATTAATTTTGGCTTAGATTGAAAAATATCATGAGTTTGGAATGTGAATTAAAACTTAAAATCAAAACATTCTGTATAAATGGCATAACTCATATTCCTGATTGATGAAATTTAGAGATAACGAATAGTAATCAAGCTCAAAGTCCATCGAAACAGTACAAATCGAGAGCAGAGCAAACACAGACCTCTAAAACATCAGAGGTGGGATCAGGTGCCATGGAGGAGTAAGCATCGACCGGTCACACCGATTGATTTCTTTGACAAAATTTGCGTCCAAACTTTGAAGACTGGTTGTAATGCTCTTAACATTGTTTATTATTGTCGCCCGCGTGGCGCAGTGGTTAGAGCGTCTGCTCTAGAGTCACGAAGTAAAGAGTTGATTCTTACGTCGCGGGTTGGACGTGGAGATCGGTCCTTCAGATGAGACTGTATAAACCGAGGTCCCGTGTCGCAGTAGGTGCTGGCACGAAAAAGATCCCTCACTGCTCAATGGCCCTGAGTGCCGAGTATAGGACAAAAATTTGCAGCTCTCCACCAGCAAGTGGTGGCGTCTCCATATGAGTGAAAAATTCTCGAGATGGACGTTAAACAACATACAAACAAACAAACATATTAACATTGTTTATTTTATTCAACAGCAATTAGAAGTTTTCAATTTACTTAGTCAATCTATAAGTTCAGCATTAAATGGTTTAAATTTATGTATAATTTAGTTTTTTTCATCTGAAGACCTGTGAATTTTGTTTATCAAATTTTAATTGCAATTTTATACTTTGTCTTTTCTGGAGTTTTTGATATAATGTAGATAAATTTAAACTTAATTTATAGTCATGATTAATTTTGCAACAGATTATAAAGCAATTTTTATATTTCAAAAATATTAAAATTCATAGCTGTATTGTAGTGTGTTGTCTGATGCATAGCTTAAAAATCAAAACATTTTTTGCGTAAGGCCAAACAAAAAAATATGTGTGGTTCCGGTTACACTTCCAAAAAAATTAGGGTAGGTAGGTAGGGATTTTTTTTTTCTTTTTTTCTTTTTTTTTTTAAACAAAATGATTTTCTTAACTTTTTCTAAATAATACCTTTCACTGCTTTGAAAATGGCATTTAGATGTGGTGTGATAATATACTAGTCAATATTGGTAGGGGAACACCTACATGCTAGCTTGCTTTGGATTTAACACTATTAAACACTTGCACTATGTTTTGCAAGGAGGCCGTCATTGCTGAAACTAAAACTTAAACTGGAGCCATTGATGGAAATCGGGGGGAAATTCCGGAAAAAATATGAAAATTGCCAAAAAAAAGTTTAGGGTCGGGGGTATAAAATAGGGAAGGTCGGGTAACCGGAACCACACATATTTTTTTATTTGGCCTAATGTATATACACGAACCATCAACATGCAAGTAATCTATACATTTTAATTTGGTTGTTTTAATTCTTGATTTTGCATGCTTACAGAAAAGTGCAAATAATTTTTCAAAACATAAGCTTTAATGTAGTATGGTGAACTGCATGGCTTTTTGACTGAAGTATTTCTCAAATATGGATAAAATTGGTCAGTAAACATTTTTGAGATTTGCACCATCTGCCATAAAATTTTTGATTTAATGAATAGATTTTGATCCCAAATCTGCCAAAAGATTTTTTGTCTCTGCATCAATATCTGAAGCAATTTCTCCACAGCACATAAAGAATGCTGATTTTTTAAAACTGGTAATGACCTTGATATTTTTTTGACTGAATCAAAATTTTCATAGGATGGGTGAATTAGAAAAACCTCAGCTTTTATGCAAGTCCATTCAGAAATACAGCATGTGGTTCAATTGTATATTGATATATTTGTATCAATCAGTGCTGTGATGAACATCTTTTTGCAGTTTAATTATGTTAAGTACAGATTGTTAATGATTTAATTGATATAAAATCATAGAAAATCCTAGTTTGAAAGAAAAAGACCATACGGCACATGTACCGTAGTGTATTTTTCTGATTATGTATGAAAATGTGACACTATGGTACATGTGTAAGTATTGTAATATTAGGTGAACTTAAAAGAATATTCTTCTCTGTTTGTAGTTATTCCATTTCATATCAATTTTTTTTCCTCCAACACTGTTAAAGTTCATTTGAACTAAATGAACAATGTTGTAATGCTATATGCAGCTCCCATATTGACCACTAGCTGGCCTGGAGGCTTTGATTGCAAACAGTATTTATACATCCTTTCCCCTGTTTAGCTCACCTCAACGAAGTTGGGGAGCTTAGGTAATACTGTCGGTGTCGCTGTCAGCATCGTATGTTAAAGTTTTTGGTGCAGTTTTCTATGCAAGTACTTCTGTGCCGTATATTAATCAGAGATGCATGGAGGATGCTTCTAGTATATTTCATTGTACCAGTCAAGGTTTCAGATGCTGCAATTTCAGCTGAAGAATGACCAGGTTAATGTTTTTGGAGCAGGTTAAAGTTCTTAGAGCAGGTTAAAGTTTTTGGAGCAGGTCTCATTTTCAAATAACTATAAGCCCTATATTGACCAAACTTGCATGGCTGATACATTTAAGGATGATTTGCTTCTGATGCTGGATCTGACCTACATTTTCTGGATGAGTGACGAGGTTAAAGTTTTTAGAGCTGGTCTCATTTCCAAGTAACTTTAAGCCCTATATTGACCAAACCTGCATGGATGATACATCTAAATATGCACACTACCAAGCTTGCTTCGAATGTTGTACAGTATCTGACTGACATTTTCCAGATGAGTTACTAGGTTAAAGTAAACTATAATGGCTATCTGAACCAAACTTGCATGGATGATGCATCACAGCATGAACACTTGCAAACTTGCTTCAGATGCTGGATATGACTTACATTTTCTGGATGAGTGACTAGTTTAAAGTTTTAGGTAAGACCATTCCCAAGTAACTGCAAGCCCTATCAGACCAAAATTGCATAAATGTTACATCTAGGGATGCATACTAGATATTTAGTTTGGGACTTTGCCTTGCTTAAAGACAACAGTCGTTGAGGTGAGCTCTGTAATCTCTGATTACCTATGTTTTTACTTACAGATGGCTTCAGAAAAGTGACCAACATAGAGCAAGGCCTGAAATCAGAGAAGGACGACTTAGAATTTCATCATCCCTATTTTCAAAGAGGCCAGGAGCACTTGTTAGAACACATCAAGAGAAAAATCACACATGTAATATATTGTTAATGTTTTTTCTTATATATTTTATTGAAATTTTTTCTAGTGCATCCATGGTTAGAATCCATTTCCAGATGTTTCGTAGAGAATTTTATTTTGAAAGCTTGGAATCAGCTTGATGAAAATGTGAGCTTCATTATTGAGTGAAATATACCAAATGCTATGCAGATTCCTCAATTTCTGATTAATGCAATAATTAAGGGAAATGATGTCCTTTTTCCACACTTACTGTAAAATCACTTATTTTCATAGGGTCAAATTTTCATTGATTGACGAAAAAAATATTGGTTCAAGGGAATCTGTTTTCATAGGGAAATAGAAAATGGTTATATTGTATGAAAATCCAACATTTCATGGGGGACATGGATTCTGGGATATCTTCGTACCATGAACAAGGGAAATTAAACTCCTATAAAAATTGGCTATTTCTCAGTAATTTATAATTAATGGCATCAAAATAAGATAAGCTTAATGACTGTGCAAGTTTACCTGATGTGAAATATAGACATTTATTTCACATCACTCAACATGTTCAGTGCTTGTTCCATTGACGGGAGCCTGATGTAGCTGGCTTTAGAGTCAGAGAAATTAATCATGTATTGTCAGATAGACTGATTGTGTGGGGAACCTCAACATGTTGTAGGGACAGATTAATCACATGATAAAATAACACAGGATAATGATGGATGGTAGACTGCAGAGGCTTCTACTTGTTGTGGGAATTTCATCAGTCATGGATGAATAAACCACATTAAAAGATAATACAGTTTTTTTGTTTTTGTTTTTTTTTTTGATTAGTGTACAGATCTATTACCTCTGTATACTGTTAAATCATAGACTTGTAAATGATGGCGTATTGAGATATGTCTTTATGTGTTAAATTAATGGTGTTCCAGTCATCAATTATCATGATTATAATAAAAAATCAGTCCATTGCTTGCTTTATCCAAGCGCTCGATTACAAAATTTTTATTCCGATTAATCGCTTTATTTTTTTTTGGTTTTACTAGCGTAATAGTTTTTAAGCTGAATATTCCAGCCGTGACTTTTCTGTTAACTTATTTGTGTATCGTAATGGCTCAAATGAACAGACAGTTGTATCCATACCTGGGTAGAAGAAAAAAAAAGATATACACTCAAAAAACACTCAGATGATATAGCCATTTATTCTTTTTCAGCAAAAAAACTGTGAAACAAATACATATGCAGAAAGTAGTCATTTACCCATTCTTACCATTTAGTTTTAACTAAATTGATAGACTTTGTAAATGTTCGATTATAATTGATAATTAGTTAGTTACAGTAACCCGATCATCAATTATGAAATTCTTACCGATTCTCATCACTGTGTGTAATTGTATCACAGATAGATGTTTGAAGTCCATGATCACTGAAAAGGGGAGGGGTATTTAGTTCTCTTTGTGTGTCTGCCACTCTTTGTACAACAGTAACTCTATGTATGTTTACAGCAACTGAGTATGGCTCGACCACTGCACTTTGAAGCTAAGTCAAATCAGGTCAAGGTTATGCATTATACTAAGAGGTCAGAGGACAGATTGTATCCCTTGTAGACACATGTATGCAAACACACTCTGATTGATTATACTTAGTATTTCATGTCAGTAAAGGTGTAAAACCCGTAAAGTAACTACCTGTGAAATTTAAAAAATATCATTTGTAACTTATTTGACAGCATTTACCATCTCATCCACCAATCCGAGTGGATCCAGTGGTTTCGGTCGCTCATAATGTGCAGCCTGAAGATCTTGATAGAATGGTGGCAGAGGTCAATCAAGTCAAAGGCAAACAGGATCTAATGAACACCAAACTGGACACTATGAAGAGGTACTTAATCCATTTCAAAAGATGTAGAATTTTTTTTAGCCAACTTCAAAAATCAAAATCAAATTTTATTGCAAAATATTTAATCTCTGTGTGTATCTTTTTGTATTCATACTTGAGTTGATCGAGGGCTTCCTTGGGTTTTTCTGATTAAATTGCTTTACCATTAATGTATTTGTTGATCTTAATTTGTATTTTGTAAATATTGATCCTGTGGATTATTTTTTGAGATAATCATTAGTGTCTGATTGGTTGATATGTTTATGACTTTTGTAAATTGGCAGGATCCACAGTGACTCAACGATACTTTTTAGTTAATTATGATAAATTGTTTTTTTCTTATTTGCTAATATTTTTCGACATGGTACAAACATTCATGGCAAAAATGCTTTTGCTAGTAGTGATTATCATGTTTGAAAATCTATAATGGTCATTATGAAGAGTTACTTTATGTTAGGTGTTCAATGTTTGTATCAATTGAAAATGGATGCATGCCTAGTAAATAAACGTGGCACAAATTTTTATTTGTAGTGGATTTTAAAAAGTGACTTTTTTGAGCAATCTGTATTCCAATTTTTGTGAAAGGTGTTAATTAAAAAGGCCAAATAACAACACATGGCAGTGATTTTCCTATTAGTTCTCTTGAAAGCTTTGCATTGTTACCATTAAGAGACATTTTTTATACTGAGCCTTATTTGTATAACAATTATGACTGGCATCAAGTGCCAGTATTTACATTTTTTTTCACAAAATTAAAGTAAGATTTATAAGGTTTTAAATGGCGGCATTAACCAGGTGAATACTCTGACCCCCAAAGCCCATTTAATATTTGTAATTGTAGAGAGAACGAAGTGCTTTGGAGAGAAGTTGCCTCTTTGAGGCAAAAACATATGAAGCAAACACAGATCATAAACAAAGTAAGACTTTAGTTGTTCAGATAGTATTTGAAATACTGTAAACATACTTTTTTCCACAGTCATAATTCTGCAGAATAAAAATTTCATGTTCAATCCACAGATAGAAAATTATGCAGAATACTTGCATTGCCATGACATGTCCTAACATATATATTTTAAGTACACTGTGACAAATTTCCGTGAAAAATTTGTGACCGTGTACATAACATAAAATTAATCCCATGTGGAAAAAGAGTACACCTACAGTATCTTAAAAAATTGTATCGACACTACCTCTGAGTAAGCAAGTTTGTATCAGTTCTTTCTGATTGCAATTATGAGCTTTTTCTTTCAAATCCATCTAATTTAGATTTCGAATGAATGTTCCAATTTCTATAGCCAAATCTTTTTATGCATTTGAGAAAGTACTGTACATGTATATACTTAATTTGATATTAAGATCATGAGAAAAATTTTAAAGTAATTGAGTGAAGACAACTATAAAATATACAGTTATGTAATTAATTACTATTATTTCATAAATGTATCATTTGAATGACCATTGAATAACTTTTCCTGAACAGTTGATCCAGTTCCTGGTACATTTTGTCGGAGCTAATCGTGTGACGGGAGCCAACAAACGTAAGCTGCCTCTGATGATCAGTAACACAGAGAGTCCAAAGGTGCCGAAATACAGCAAAACCCTCCCCCTGTCCCCTGCCACCTACACAGTACAAACAGTAGGTTTATTTTAGTCTTTCATCTTCAGAAAAATTCCTTATTTATGATTCAGAGCTCGAATAATTGGTGGACCACTGGTCTGGGGCCAGTGAATTTTCAATCTGCTCTAGTACATTGTAGAGGGAATGTGCCTTTTGGGTCAGTGTTTTTTTATGCGTAACAAAATCCATTCATGGTTGGGCTTGTTAACATGACAGGGTTGTGCATCCAAGTTCTGTCATTATTTGTTTAGTTAAGTTTCAAAAATTTAAGGTGATAGCCCGAGTGACCAGTGAAAAAAATGATTATTAGTAGCCCGTGATTATCATGATTATTATGTCATATTTTATATTGACTGTAGTATTGTACATGTTTGATATAATCATTAAGTTGCAGAAATTATTGTAGGTGAAAAAAATTGTATTTTCCTGTGATATGGAGAAGAAACTGAAGGAAATTGAAACATTCGAGAGGAGACAGAAATTTAACTATTAATAATAATTATCCTCAACATGTTCAAAGGATAAATTCAAGAAATAAAAATACTGTCCTTGTCAGGAATTCATAGTACATACATATATGTACTTACTACTTTGGAAAGTCTTAAAAAGTTTTGTATTCATATTTCAATGCTTTGGTTTGCAGCCTGAATCTTACAATAACTTGAGCAACAGTAGAGGTCCTATCATACATGACATCACAGACCTACATGATATACCCACAGAACAGCCTGCAACAAACATAAAGAAGGAGCAACATCCATACATAGATATCTCCCATCTGGCACTTCCTTCTGACCTTGTATCTTCGGTTTGTATTAATTTTTTTTTCTAGCATCTTGTTTTGTAAAGAGAGATTTTTGAATGAAAAGGGGAGGGAAGAAATATCAAAAACAAATGTACTGACTGATTTTTGATAGTGGATGGAATCTTGCAATGGCTATGTTTTCGTTCATCTGTAATACTGACTGTGTTTAATTTCAAACATACAATGTAGATGACCTTATGTATCTGAACAGAATACACACTTTTCAAACCCCATGATTTACTGCTCAGCATTTAATTTGATAAAGCTATAAAAAAAATTGTGAATGAATTCCATTCATTCTCAAATAATGAATAATAAAGACACATTGGGAAGTTTGCATTGATAGCTTGGACAATGCTGACAAATATATACAGTGTAGATGATGAAAGCCCGTCTATCCCATTTTCACTTGTGTATGTTACTTTGTTAAATTCTCTTTGTTGAATACAGCCGACTGTACCAGAGCATACCAATGAGAAGGAGGATATGAATCTTTTTAATGGAGATTTGTTGTCTGAAGCTACATCGGAAATTATGCCCAAGGTGATGTCAATATCAGACCTGGGGAGGATGGATCACGCACATGTACCCACATCTTTGGAATCAAAAGGCTCGCCAGCTGGCTCTGTGTCTTCAGGAGGGTAAGTTTACTTTATCATGTTTATAGATTAACTATTTCCTGACTCTGGAATTAATGTTTGTGGACAGAAATATAATGAAGTGTTATTGAAAATACAATCAAACCTGATTATGGTAGAAAGTCAACTACAAAAGTGTTTTATTATTTTAAACCCCACATCAAGATGTGATTGCACTATAATATTTACATTTCTAACTGTTTTCTCTGTGATTGATTGATTGTATGTTGTTTTACGTCCCATTTGAGAATTTTTCACTCATATAAAGACATCACCATATTCAGGAGGGCTTCAAATTTAGACCTTGAAGGGGGGAGCACTTTGTAAAGATCAAGGTCACAGTACAAGATTAATGATAGCCATTAGAAAATTGGACAATTTGTAACAAACAGACTTAAGATGTAATATACATGTATAGTGTATAGGTGGGAAAAGTGAGAGAAAAATATCTCTAGATTAGGTCATTTGATCCAAGTCCAAATTATTGATATGCCCATTGACATGCAATAACTTGAACATGTTGTGACTTGTAGACCTCATATTCACTATATACAGTACCAACCAGACCCAACCTGACACAAAGCAGTCCCAGAGCAGTCCCGGGGACTGCTTTCTGGGACTGCTCTGGGACTGCTAAAGCAGTCCCAGAGCAGTCCCATAGCGGTCCCAGAGCAGTCCCACAGCAGTCCCAGAGCAGTCCCACAGCGGTCCCAGCAGTCCCAGCGGTCCCAGAAAGCAGTCCCAGCAGTCCCAGTGGGCGGGGTTAATTAATTTAATGGGCGGAGCTTACTCAGAAATGAGATTACCAATAAACAATGTAACTATAAAAGGCAGTTGAAATTGATGATCCATTTCTTTCTGAGCAGTATCAGTTCTCATGCGACAGTCATTTTTGAACTGTTAAGAAATTCACACTACGCGTATAGAAACAAATAATAAATACTGAACAAAGAAGACGGTCACACCTACTAATAACCTGAATATTTAAACACAGTTTTGTGGTATATTAATTTTTCACCAAAAAAAAATCAATTTCTTAATTTACTGTGATTGATATCGGTTTCCATATTTATTTATTTATTTTTTATAGAAAATTAAACTTGAATTGTTTATTTTCTATCAAAACTAGCTTTAGACATGTTAAATAGACCTTATAATTATAGAGCAAGGCCGATTTCCATACTATACTCTGAATGCAGTTTTCTTAAGTACTGGAGCTTTTGAAAAATTCTTTGAGTATTATATTTCAGTCATGATTATTTTCACTGACTTGCCAATTTAATTATCGTTAGATTATCTATGTAACAGAAAACAATAATACTTTTATTATATAAATGTTTGAGTGTACATCTGTAAATCACGCGGAGTGTACATCTGTAAATCACGCGAATGGAACCCTCAGATTATGTTCAAAATTAATCAATCCCGAAATAAACGAAGATTTTTTGCAGTACATAGATTGAAATTAGTGCCATTGTTGACCAGCATGTTCAGTGATGTGTAACACTGATACCCAAATAACATGCATTGACTTTCTGCTAATCATGCCCGAAGGCGATTGAAACCTCAGGTGTTGACACCATTTTATACATTTGTATTACTTTTTATTAATCGGCCAATCGGCCAGGAAAACACAAACAAAACAAATAAGAAATAAGTCACAATTCCCAATAATTTAAAAAAGTTTATAAATTTACTCTTTTAATAACTTGTTCATAAATCAAAAACAAATTCATAAATATATTCCCTAGTAATTGTTCACAAATATGATTGTTTAAATGACTGAAGAATGGTAGAATAATTCTATTTCATAGTCATTTAATAAATTATTAAGTTTTATTTGAGGGCGGTTAAAAAATAACATGGAATGCTCTTTTTTAGCATGGTTTTAGCTTTTTCAAGTTAAATAAAAAATCCAGTACATTTTGTCCCTCTGAATATCTTATTGTAATGACAAGTTTGTTTGTTTTTTTTAAAATAGTGCCAATGCAGACTTTGAGTATATACCGTAACTTGACAGCATTAATTAATTAAATAGGCCTAGATATTTTTTTCAGACACCTGTATTAAAGTTTTAATTAGCATTAATTAATTAAATAGGCCTTAGAGATATCTTTTTTTCAAACACCTGTATTAAAGTTTAATTCAAGGGATAAAAGTCATCTCCTGACTTCCCTTTTAACTAATTTCATTTTTTAAAATTAATTCTAGACTATAATTGTGTAAATTTACAGCCCCTGAAGACATTTAGTAATTACATGTATATCTATCTCTTTTTATTAAAATGTTGTAAGAAATCCTTGGTATTTTTATTCTTTATATTTAACACCTCTCTGCTGAAAGTAAACAAAACAACAACAGGGAGCCTGCAAATTCAGAATACACAAGGGGCGGAGCTATCATGTCACTCAGAACCTTTTTCATGCATGAGTGAACAAAGCAGTCCCAGAAAGCAGTCCCTGGGACTGCTGGGTCTGCTTTCTAGAGCAGTCCCAGAGCAGTCCCACAGCAGTCCCAGAGCAGTCCCATAGCGGTCCCAGAGCAGTCCCACAGCAGTCCCAGAGCGGTCCCAAAGCAGTCCCAGGGACTGTTTTCTGGGACTGCTAAGGTGTCAGGTTGGGTCTGGTTGGTACTGTACTGTTTACAGGGAAATTTTTGCCCTCATTTTATTTTCTTCCCTTTTGCCCTACTCACATGTGGGCAGTTTAAAACAGGTCGAATTCAAAAAACACAGTATAATTTCTTAAACAGAATTGTAACAGGTGAAAATTGTTTGCAAGTGTGAAAGGGTGAAAATAACACGGGGCAAAAATAACCCTGTATACTTAGTACATGTACATGTATTAGGTGAAGAATGTTAAGAAAAATTGGCGTTTGTCAGATCCTGTATTTTCTGGATGTTTAATCACTGAACTATAAATAAAGGTGAACATTTATTTGGTCTGAAATTAAGCCCCAGTTGTCTTATTATCTCTGTTGAAGGAAGTATGAAAATTTCTAAATCTTAAATTTTGCTCAAGATTAAATTATTATTTAATTATAGGAGTGCAGGCACATTGTCAAAGCACCTCACCCGACAGAAGTCAGTGTAAGTATCTTAGTTTTAGTTTATTTGCATATATTTACATTTTGCAAATGTTTTCTGTTATACAACATTATTTGAGCAAGGTGTATTTAAGTTTTTTTGTCACCTGACCATAAATTCATTGTTTAGTCATAAACGATCAATGTAATGTAATGCAACATGTGTAATTGATTGTCAAGGTTTGGAAAAATTTGATCATTTCATTGGTTTTAAAACTATATTACCCAAATATTTGTTAAAAGTCAGTCATAATTGTAAATATAAGTATTAAGGTATCATTTTAAAACTTTTATTGGGATGTCAATATGGATTGGTACATGATCAAATCTACCTTAAAGCCTCTTTGGCTTTATTGGATTTGATCACATGACAAACCCGTATTTACACCCCAATAAAAGTTCTAAAATGGTACCTTATTTCTTAAGGAAAGGAATTTTCAGTGGAATTAAGGAATGCATTTGAGGCAGCTGAGGCCAGGATTTGGATGCAGCATATTAATTTTATAGATATTAACACTGCATTAACTTTAGAACATAATGAAATTATATATTTTATAGGCATGAAGTGGTCCATCTAAAATCTGTAAAAATTGCCAGTTCATTGCATAAGTAATGTCTAAGGAGATACTGTGAAAGTATTTGACACAAAGAAAATTATGAACAGGATTAAAAGCATTAAATATTTGATTTTGTCATCCACTAATAAAAGCCTTTTTGTTGATCATAATGTAGAATGATTTAATTATGAACTGGATTTGAAGTATGAAACATTTGGCTGGTCAGTCTCTTGGGTCATTGTTGATTACACTAGAATAATTTTAATTTCATATTTATGATATTGTTGCTATTGAGATCTATTTCTCTGTATTCAAGATAAAACATTTACAGGTCTTTGAAATATTTCAAATCACCCTGTTTACAGATCATTTTTATAAAGATATATTTCAGCATGTATCTATAGCTCTTCATGGCATAAAATAATTTAAAAAAAAAAAACACCTTTATTTCATTGTATAGGTCTGAGATGTCTGACCATGTGGATTCTGTGAGTTCGGATCTGGAAGGACTGAAGGACTTCCTGACTGGATCCAACTATTTTGATCAAAATTTATTACAAGGGGTAGGCCTTTAAATCATCTGATTAATCCTTATTGCTGCATATTTTTCTTTCCCTTGCTTTTATACTTCCTGAAATGATTAAAAATTAAACAGAATTTTGAAGAATTATGGCTCGTCTGTTGCATGTTTATGATATTTTATTTGCCTCGTTCAAGCCTTTTGGTCATGTGAACTTTTCTGATCAGCGTATGTTCATCACTTGTCTTCAGGTGTTCCTGATTTGTTCAAACATCATGAACATAGGACAAGATTGTCTCGGTCAAGAAATAAGGATGTATGATCATTTTAAGCTCTTTTTCTGTATACAGCACTGAGAGACAAATCTTTTTATAGTGCAAGGTGTGGGGGAAAATCTCAAAATATACCCTCCTTTAAAAGCAAGATACAGTTTGTCATATTATCATTCAGACATCCTTTGAAATTCAGACTAGCTTTACCATGGTGGATCCAGGTCAATGGTGGTGCTACATTTATAATTGTTCAAATGTTCCCTCAGGTTAATACAATTTTTTTTAAAATTTTCAATGTAATTAAGTCTTGTAAGAAATGTACAGTTACAGGTTACAGTTATGAAATGGATTTGCTAAAATCTCATGTACATGTAGATTCAACTTACTTTTAATTATGGCCTTAAGCCAAGGTGGAGCCACAATAAAACAATTTTTTTTTCATGTAAGTGAATGTAAAAACAAATCTGCCTCTTAACCACATTTGACTTGATAGTCAAGAAATTATGTGAAGTATTGAATGTTTCACACAGTATTTAACCAAAAACTTTTGATATAAATATAAATTTTCTTTACACAAACCCGCTTAGGTATCAAACTAGTATGGGTACACATTCAACTTCAACCCTAGACACTAAAATGTAGTTTAAGTTTGTTCAAGTATTTTAAGAATCTAAAAATCAGGAAAGGCTATCACTCATCAAATTTATGCTCATCTTTGCTTTTTGTCAAGTTCAAGTTGGTTAACTGTAAACACTCTTCCAGAGCTGTTTACTATTAGCAAATTCAGTATTTCTTATGGATTTTAGGTTCAAAATATGTATTACAGATTTACCTCTGGAAATTATGCTTCAGAGTTGCACTTCTAATTTTTTAAAAGTTTTTTATGCCTTGAAAATGACTTCACAACAATATTAATGATGTATTCTCAGAGTGTCATTTTTGTATGATTCATGTTGACAAAACAGAAGATAATGTAACAATCAAAAATCATTTATATCTAAAGTTATCAAATGCATTTAAGAAAATTAGGTCAGGGTATTGCCAACATGAGATTACTGACAAAAAGCTCAAAATATGAATGGAAAACATTTATTTATGGAAAACTCTAGAGAGGATCAGGGATAAATGTCTCGGCTCTTTTTTGAGGCCACAAGGAGTCCAATTATCTAAGTGGAAGGCTAGTAGGGTGAGCATTGTTACCCAGTGGCATCTTGTTTGATGGGGGAATGAAGGGTATTTCAGTAAGAGAATTTATTCATAGTTCAGAAATCAGAATACATGTGTCATCTTAACGGACCTTTTTTTTTTATCATTATACATGTAGAAAACTAAGCCAGTTTTTATTACCCGGTAGTATGTCATGCAACTCAAATTGGCAGTATGAATTGGCAAAATTTTTGATGGTCCCAATTTCAGACCCAGGAGGGCTTTCAACAACATTTTTCTTTGTGACAAGATCTTTCCTTGGGTACCATCAATTTTGACTTTTGACGTTAGCCTTGGAATTTGACCTACTTTTGAAAAACTTTAACCTTGGCCATAACTTTTGAACAGTTGGTGCTGGGGCTTTCATCCTACAAATGCACATGTGTATTCCTTGTGAAAAGACCTTTCCTTGGGTATCATCAATTTTGACCCTTGACCTTGGAGTTTGACCTTCTTTTGAAAACGTTTAACCTTGGCTATAACTTGAGAGGTGGTGCTAGGGCTTTCATATTTCACAGGTGTATTTCTTGTGACAAGACATTTCTTTGGGTACCAATTAACATTTTTTATCTCCTGATCTTGGAGTTTGACTTGCATTTGAAGAACTTTAAACTTTGCCATGAGCTGCCATACAAGGGCATCAGTGTTTCATAAACACAAAGTAAACCATCTACCAAATTAAATAAGGAATTCCTGATTAAACAAACATGTCCTGACCAAGCTCTTTTCAAATTTCTTGGAAAAATCTTTTAAATGAATGATCACTGTGACTTCATATGATTACAAAAGCTGTTTTCATGAACTGAACCCACAGAATAGTAAATAAGTCATTTTAACTTTCCTATATATCACCAAAAAAAAAAATACTGACATCATATAATATGCAACATGCATGATAATTATTTTCCAAGTCTTTTTCAAATTTTTGTTAAATGGCTTTCATCATAGAAAGAGTGTATCAGAAATTTTGAAATATACCCATTTCATATCAACTTTTATGCTCTCATTTTGGTAATATGGACTCATTTTGTAAATAACACTTTCATTTTTCATCATAAATGTATATTATGTACATGTAATTCATTTTATGTCATTCCAAAATATATTAATTTTTATTTCATATCAAAATAAAATTTCATTTAAAAAAACTTCGTACAAGTTAAACAAATGTAATTTATTTCTTTTACTGTTATATTTTTTTTTTCAAATTCTCAGTTGAAGTTAGTACACAAATTAATTAAATTAATTTGTAATCATTTTCAGCTGTTTGATTCTGACCAGGATCACATTCATATGGGAAATTCAGTAAGTCCGAGATTGAGTCTTTAGTTGATTATTATAAATAAAAATTGTCTTCTTTTCCACTACCGAGGGTAATTACATAGGACTGATTAAAGCCATAATTAGGATGATCTCTGAACATTGAATGGTAAAAAGTCTTTTTCAAAGTTAAGTTCTTATTTTTTTCTTTTTCCCCCTAATTAAAATTTCAAATTTCTAGTGCAGTTAAAGAAATATTACTAAAGTCAATTAATGGTAGAAATTATTTCATTAAATTTCCTTGGTCACCAAGAAGAGGGCTTCGTTTTCAGCTATGCTTCTCTGACCAGTTAATTCCTCAAATTTCAATATATAAAAAAATATTTAATGGTACTTGAGGATGATTTATGAACTGAAACAGAATTAAGAAACTCGGAGGAAGTGAAATAGACAATCGTAGCATAGTGCTTGGTGCACAAGCTTCACATCAAAACAGCCAGGTTCTTCACGTGGGGTCAGGAAGGGTCAAATATGAGGATTTTTCTTCTGTAAGATTGGTGAGCAGAGGTATGCTCTGACTTACATAACATGTAAGTTGTTAAAGTGACACATGTATACTGAAAGTATTGGATTATAAAATAAAGGTAGACTTCCAATATTTCCAAAACTGAATATAATTAAGATATATAAAGCAAAATTCAAAATATGATTCCTTAAATTTCAGTGTTTGGTTATTTTTTGTTCTTTTTTTTAGCTGTTCAATGCTGATGGAAGCATTAATACAGCAGCCGGTGATTCAGTAAGTTACATAAGTGTAATTAGCAAGATTACAGTAGTGTAATAAACAGGGTTACATTAGTGTAAATAGCAAGGTTACATTAGTGTAATAAGCAGGGTTACATTAGTATAATTAATAGGGTTACATTAGTGTAAATAGCAAGGTTACATTAGTGTAATAAGCAGGGTTACATTAGTGTAATTAATAGGGTTACATTAGTGTAAATAGCAATTAGCAGGGTTACATTAGTGTAATTAATAGGGTTACATTAGTGTAAATAGCAGGGTTACATTAGTGTAATAAGCAGGGTAACATTAGTGTAATTAAGAGGGTTACATTAGTGTAAATAGCGGGGTCACATTAGTGTAATAAATAGGCTTACATTAATGTAATAAGTAGGGTCACATTAGTGTAATTAGCAGTGTTACATTAGTGTTATAAGCAGGATGACATTGATGTAGTTGGCAGGGTGACATTAGTGTAAAAATCAGGGTCACATTGGTGTAGTTGGCAGGGTTACATTAGTGTTATAAGCAGGGTCACATAAGTGTAATTAGCAGGGTCACATTAGTGTTATTAACAGGGCTACATTAGTGTAATAAGCAGGGTCACACAATGGCACATTGGTGTAGTTAGCAGGGTTACATTAGTGTAATAAGCAGGGTCACATTAGTGTAACTAGCAGGGTTACATTAGTGTAATAAGTAGTGATGTTCCAATCATCGGTTATAATCGAAAATCAGTCGATTGCGGGCATAATGCAAGCGCTCGATTACAAAATTTTTATTTCGATTAATCGGTTTATTTCTTATTTTAAATGCGTAATAGTTTTCAAGCCGAATAGTCCAGCCCGACTTATCTGTTACTTTATTTGAAATTGTGTATCGTAATGGTGCAGAATTGTATGCATACCTGCTAGCAAAGCACGTTCCCGGGTATGGATGTACTTTTGGTCCTACAAAATGAATGAAGGACCTGCTTGACCACCACAAAAAGTAGTCATTTATCCATTCTTAACATTTAATTAAATAAATTAAAGAAATTGGAAATGTCCGATTATAATCGATAATTAGTTAGTTACAGTAACCGGATCATCGATTATGAAATTCTTACCGATTCCCATCACTAGTAATAAGCAGGGTCACATTGGTGTAGTTAGCAGGGTTACTTAAGTGTAATAAGCAGGGTCATATTGGTGTAGTTAGCAGGGTTACGTTACATAAGTGTAATAAGCAAGGTTACATTGGTGTACTTAGCAGGCCTGGGTTACGTAAGTGTAATAAGCAGGGTCACATTGGGTCACATGTCACAGCTATTGCAGAAAAAATTACATAACCCGCTTATGTGGGTTAGGTATTTTTTCTGCAACAGCTGCAACATAAACAACCAAAGAAAGCATTTTATTGTTTAAGTAATAAGTAGGGTCAAATTAGTGTAACTAGCAGGGTTACATTAGTGTAATTAGCAGGGTCACATTAATGTAATTAACAGAGTTACATTAGTGTCAAAAGCAAGGTCACATTGGTGTTGTTAGCAGGGTTACATTAGTGTAATAAATAAGGATGACATCTATTACTCATAAAACCTTGTCATAAAAAAATTTAAAAAAAGAATTAAGGATTGTCAGAGGGAGGGGGAGAGGGGGGGGTGAAATATTTGCATGTTTAAAGTGTTGCTTACATTTTGAGTATGATTGACATAAAATTTAATTAAACACTAGCTTACTAGGTTTACATACAGCTAGGTAGTAGATACATACATGTACATTAAAACTGTAAATGATTGGAGTTTACATCTATCTATGACATATATTGCATCAGAGAAATCAAATGATCCAGATAGAACATTTGCTTTTCCAGATCTTGGCAGGATTGGACACAATGAGGCCAGATGAAGGATCAAATTCAGGTAGTTGATTTGGATTTCTCTACCAAAACACTTCTATTGCACTCAGTCTCCGTGTATATATGTGTTTCTTACTTTAATCGTGGCCTAAAATGTTGAATTACAAGAAACATGGATTTTGTAGTTTAAAGTTTATGTCAAGTTAAGGTCAATCTGTACTTTGAAGTCTGACGTTAAGTACATGTAGATTTTGTCTCCATATGGTAAATCACAGCTGGGTTTAAGAATGAAGTAAAATACACTGCTGTATGTTAAATTTTATGGTTTTGTTGACATATATTTTAAAAGTTAGATAGCTAAATTATATTCAGAAAAGTAACATTTCTTTTAAAAAAAAAACAACTTGCAACCAACATTTTTAAAACAATTTATATTGTTCATATTGATGTGAAAAAAGGCCTACGTTGCATGTATTCATTGTAGGGCCTCTAGTCCACTATAAGCCAGGAGATGAAGATATCCCTGACCTTTTTGACCTTGCTGAAATGTCAAAGGAGGATCATGAAGCAGAAACTTCAAAGGACTCCATGGATCACGTCAAATCAGAAGCCCTGGATACACCCCTCCCCATCCAGATATCTGCAGATGACCTGGATTAAGCACACAAGCACATACTCTATGTACATATTGTATATTTCTTTCATAGAGAGTATCTGATGTGCCATTTTATTTAGTGCATATGTTTCATTGTTTGTTAAGGGATGTGAGTTGTTTCTGTATTCTGTAAAATATTGTGGTTGTGTATTGTTAAATGTGTGAGAGATAGACAAAAAACATTTTTTTTTTTAATTATGTACAGGAGTTATGCCTCCTCGCATGCAAACATTTTTATACCCTCACCATTAAACATGGGGCATTATGGTTAAACACTGAGTGGTTTCTTAATTCTTAAAGTTTTTTCAAGATTTGTAGTTAATAGTCATCCAAGTGGCATGTGTAAAGATTATGAAAATTTGTATTTCCATTTAATTAGAGTAATTTAAAAACTCTCATGCAAAATACATCTTTATTTGCTATTTTGAGCCAAATAACTTGGTCACTCTATCTAGGTACTGCTCTTACATTCAGTTTGCATTTTTTTAAGAAGTAGAAAATTTTAGCTGTCAGATTTAAATGCCTTACAGAAATTGAAAACATATTCATACATGTACAGTGTATGACTTTGATTGTGCACATACTATAAATCTTGAAGGAATGTTGAGTTGTCATTTCAGTTATTATGTCATGAACACACACTGTTACATGCATTGGAAGTAGAACATTTTACATTTAAGTGCAAAGAAAATATCAGAAAGGACAGTTTTTGAACACTGCTATACTTATTCCTACTAAGAGGCTCTGCCTTTGGTACAATCATTCATAAATACCTCAGAAAGAAATGACTTCAATCTAATTCATTAACTGCAGACGATTTTTTTTTTGAAGATCATGGATTTCCCTTTTGTGATGCATGGCCCCAAGTTATTCTTTATTTGTTGGCAGAAATGTGTTTCCACATCACTGTTACTTTGTGAAATTCCATGTTTTACATGTTTTTTTTGTAGTTTTAGAATTCATTCACTGAATAATTCATGTGAATCTGTTTTCTACATGTATTAACATTATTATATATTTATTTCAATGTTCACAATTGTTAAAAAAAAAAGAAAAAGAAAGGAAAAAAAGAAGAAAAAAATCAAAGCAAACAATTACCCAGTGAATCAGATTTTTTCTTTCTTAATGAGGTCCATTGTAAATATAATCACTTCGTTTTGAATAGTACATATTTTATTTTTGGTATGTACGAGATATTCCTTTGTTTGAGTGAGACTTGTTCAATGTAAACCTGTTTTATAAGGTTTATTTTTTGTTTCCTTATTTTAGATAATTGTGTTTTCTTCATAGATAAAGAGTGATTAATTTTTAGTGTAAAAGTCATTATTATAGCATACATGTAACCGTACATTAAACACACACACACACACACACACACACAGAGACCCTTAGATTGCATTAATTTTAACATAAATGTAATATGATTAGAGACCCTGTTGAATTCTCTCTACTGCTTATATATACCTCAGATTGGCAACAGAACATTGTTTTCTCTACAAATTCATTCTGATCAGAAGAATTTGACACCAAATCAAAACAGTCCCGTTCTTATCGGGAAACAGATCAAGAGATTTGGGGCTTCTGTTAATATTTCATAAAGGATACCATAGGTTGTCTCTCTGTTTTTTTTCTCCTTGACAAAAAGTATACTATCATTTGATTTAATGAAGTGTTTCTTTTATGTAAATTAGGGGAAAAAAAAACAAAGAAAAAAGTTTTATGTTTCATGTGCGTGTTTGCTGGTATAATGTCACCTCTTCATGGGATGTATTCATAATTGCTTATTGTTAAGCATGCTAATTAAGATTTGAATTTAGTACACAATGTACACATTTCAATAAATCTAATTGGCCAATTGATGCATAATGTAGAGATTTTTCTTAATGCTGAAGAATGTTGTAAAATTGCTTAAATATATGTAAAATTATATAATATATAACACATATAAACTAGTTTGATTTTGGTTTAAGTTACATTTCATGTAAAGAGACTAAAATTGGAAATAAAATATTTAAACAAAAATATGGATTTGTTCAATAATTGTTTTATTAGTTACTACGCGGATATATTTTTACAATTTAAAAGCAAATCAATTCATCCAGAGATATGTTTTATAAATGAAAACGTGACATTATTACTGCCGAATCTTAGTGCAGAAGTGAAATTGATGCTACTTCATTCCATTTAAAATGCATATTTGTCATAATAGACCAAGTGCGTCCTAGATGTGTAAACATGAGAGGAGAAAACGCATTGTAGTAGTATTGTAATATGAGACATTTACATTAATTTCTCCAATTACATTTTATTTGAACAGTGACGTAAGGTATCATTTCCATTAGTAGGCTGTATTAGATATTTATATCACCTATCCCTGTGGATTAAGTGGATATATAATATTAACACAATAACGAGTGTGTTCGACAATTCAATGATCTGACGGCAAACAATGACGGAATTTAAGGACAGACGATACGTTCCTCAATAATATATAATTTTTTCTAAGATTTTGTCATTGAAGTATTGCTACTTTAACATGTTTACTTGCAAAAAATTGAGGTACCTTACCAGGCATTTGTGCAAGATACCAGAGGATGTTTTTCCTATAAAATCCTTTTGGAAAAAACTTAATTAGCCAATAACACATTTTTTGGTGTTTCATTGTTTTAAAGACAGTTAGAAACCAGTTTAGAAATCAGAAAGTAATTAAAATTTTGAATATTTTCCACATAATTCGAAGGTATACAAAACAGATATTTGAGGAACGTATCATCTGACCTTAAAATACAAATTAAAGTGATCAGTACTATGTATATTTTCTATCTAAAAAGTTTATAGAACATTTTTATAACAGGTTTATTCCACAGTAGATATAATTGAATTGGATTAAGATCTACTGTTATGGAAGTACCAATACCGAATAGATCAAACAGGTGTCACGTTGTGTGTTTGCATCACCGATACTTCGTGGAACGTCACAATGTACCGCCTACAGAAGTTAAAAGTAGAAATTATATTTATAACAAGAAAATGTAGACTTATTTTGAAAATGTGCTTACATTTTATTTGATAATGATTATACCAAAAACAAACACGCTTAAAAACACTTCCCTCAACTTTTTACATGTACCAGGCCTGTAGCAAGATACCCAAGATTTTTATTACTCCACTTTAGGCCCCTCAGAAGGAGCAAAACAGATTTACAAAATGAAAGAAAAGAAGGGGGAAGATCCAAATGATGGAACAAACCTGATCTTAAATATAATGAGCATTGCTTAATTAATTGTATAATCATTGATAAACATCTACAAGAGATATACTGAATATACATATTGTATATCTTGTAATAATATGTAGTAACAGTTTCGTGGGGGAGGCACCCCCCCCCCCCCCAAAAAAAAATCTGACAAGCAAAAAAAACAAACAAATAAATAAACAAACAAATCTAACCAAAAAGGGGGGGGACCAGCATCTAAATGTAAATTTACTATAGCAAAATAATATACTCAAAAAAAGTTTTCCCGTGTTCTACGGGTCTGTTTATAGAAATCAATAAGCTTTACCGAATTATTTTGATTTTGTGAAAGATGTAAGTGAATCGTTTATAACAGACATGGAAAAAAAATATAGCTATTTTAAAAAATGTCATACATGCAATCGTATGTTCCATTATGACGTCATAATTAATTCCCCGTACTTTACAGCTTTAATATTGAATTATGTATTAATTAAAGCATTTTCATTCAATTTCAAATTATCATCTGAAAAGTAATCCTGATATATATATAATCAATTTAATATCATTTCGAAGAAGAAGCCATGAACACCTTTTCTGAGGGTAATTTGGGGAAAATGTAGGCCCCTTTCACTCAGTATAGTTCTTTGCCATACACGTGTAATATTCAAATCTTCAAGACATCATTATGTTGTTTACTACATGTTTTTTTTTTCAATTTATTAGTGCATGATAATATCACATCCATTAATTTTTCTGAACACCAATCGGTGTGAGAATTTGATTAATAGTTTGTTTATAAAAAATAATACATGTACAAACATTTGTCGATGTATTTTAAAGGCCATTGATTATTATGTCGATATCATTACTTTAAGAAATTATATAGTAGGTTAGGTAATAAAACACTTATTTCATGACAACTCGGGAAACAGTCAAACTGTTGTCCCTCGATAATGGGGAAGACCTGGGAAACTGTTGCCCTCGGCCTTCGGCCTCGGGCAACAGTTTCCCAGGTCTTCCCCATTACCTCGGGGCAACAGTTTGACTGTTCCCCTCGTAGTCATGAAATAAGTGTATATTATTACCTAACCTACTATATAAATTGTAATTAGGCATTTTGAACTGTTTCCTGATTCATTTTAATGGTTTTTGCACATAATGAAACAGTCAACACTGTTTACCTGGTCACAGAATGAATTATTATACCTCTACTGTTATTACTCTATATAAAATTAATAACATAAAACTGTCTATTTCCTTGAGAAGATACTATTTCCCTCATCTGAGGACTATTCCCTGAAAAAATGGAACTACTCCCTGGGACTATTCCCTCATGAATATTTATTAATATTTATTAATCTTTATGTTCATTTTAATTGGTTAAAATTGTTTTTTATTTATTAATACAGCACATTAAAGCGCACTTTTAAACTAACATAACTGACCTAAGTGAAGAAATATTAATATAGAAAGCACAAAGAAATTAATATTTCTTCACTTAGGGCAGTTATGTTAGTTTAAGAGTTGTTGTAAAAATGTGCTTTATAAATAAATAAAAAATAATTCATTACAATGTGTATCGGTAACGATCCTCTAATAAAACTAAATTCCTAATGTCCAAATAACTGTATTTCACTTCCATTCTCAATGACCGTGTATCGTAGGACAGCGCCGCGAGAATTCCATCGGCATCGAAAGCAAGTCCTTTTTTGACTTGCCCAGATGGCCGAGCGGTCTAGCACGCTGTTCCTGTACTGCTAGGAGACCCCGGGTTGGGGCCGAAGTGGATATCCTTGTAAACGTAAATTTCTTTGTGCTTTCTATTTTATAGAAATTTGCATGCATCGCTTACTAAAAGGGTGTATTTGACTCATGAAACATGAGGGAAATAGGGAAGTTTATGCATCTAATTGTAGTACACCTATGCATTTTTAGCTCTCTTGATCAAAAACAGTGCAGAAATCAGAAAATATAAGTGGTATGCATTTTACAGAACAAGTCCTTAGGTTTCTTTTTGTGGTTATTTTAGGGTACATTTTCCATCTTTAAAAAGAGCTACTTTACCTGCTACTCAAATCATGCAATTCTGCATATGTGAAAAATGGGTGTTTTTAGAGTTATCTTCCACTAAAAAAAAGTCACATAAAAATTGATTCTCAAAAAAAAATTGTATACTTTTTTCATTTAATCTTAAGATAAGATTCTTAGACTACTTTGACATCTGTAACTATGTATGTATTTTTCTCCTATAAATCGCCCAATTGCTTTATCATATTTCGTATAAACTAATAAGTTTTTTAAATCAAGCAAAAGTAATAAAGCACGAACGAAGACTGTGTAATCTATAAAGTTGTCACATGACAGTTACTTAGTTTTAAAAAAAAAAAGGCAGCTCGTGTGTCAGCACGCTCCACAACAACACACGATAACACATACTTAGGGATAAAAAAAACTGCCTATGTAAAGGAAATATATTTTTATTACTAAAGCTGGCAACATATTGAGAGGAGAAATCTTAAAAAAAATTTAATAGGAATGCTATCAAGCTCTATTACTTGAACTTGTAAGCTGAACATAATACTTATTAAAGAAATCTAAATTTCATTTTTATTAAAGGAATCTAATTTCATTTTTTCATTTGAATTACGTACAAGTCTATATTTACTCTGAGACAAAAAAAAATTACACATATAGTCTTCTCAATAAGTAACAAAAAAGATGATATTACTTCAATTATGAAATGGAAAAGAGAGAGAGAGAACAATTTTGTAAAGCATCCTGGAAAAAAAATATCTGAGGTAATATTTTTTAAAAAAAGTCAAGACACTAAATTTCAATGGTTTTAATCTCAAATTTTACATAGAATAATTCATACTAAATGTTATCTTTACAAATGAAAATTAATTGAATCACCATTATGTTTCTTCCATGAGAATGATATTGAAACTATCGATCATCTTTTTGTTGAATACTTTTGTGCTAAAGGACTTTGCTTCAAGATTGAAGAATGGATCTTGAAGAAACTAAACTGTTCTGTTTATTTTGATAGGAAATCAGATCTTTCGGTAAATTTACAAATAGAGACATATACAAGTTCGAAAATCTTCTGATTCTGACGTACATTTTTCAAGTAAGTTCACAAAACCAAGAAAATTAAGTAATTGTATTGGGGCTTTAAAACATGTACATGTAATTAATGGCAGAATTAGAGTTGAAAGTTTTTACTGCATGTTAAAAATTTGTAAACTTGAGGAATTTACAAGACAATGGCAGAGAAAAAGACGAAAATCTGTAATCACTCTAAAATCATATTTTTAAAGTTTGAAAGTTTAGTGCCCCGTTCTCTTTCTTCCCCTTCTCTCCTTTCCCCCTTCTCTCTCTCCCTCTTCTTTATTTCCCCTTTCTCCCCCTTCTCTCTCTCTCTGTCTTTCTCAATCTCTACAAATCTCGACTTGTATATATCTGTGGTTGTTTGTATGTTTGTGAATTTAGAATAAAAATTAGAAAAAATAATCATAAGCAATACAATAAAGTTAAATTAATAAAGTAAATAAATCAATAAACAAAATTTATAGATAAAGCTTTTAAGATGAAGGCAAATTACACCGAACAGGTAATTGTAGGCCCGTAGGAACCGTAAGGGGATGGGGTTCAATGGGTGGAGGGCGTGTCCCTAATGATTTTGTAAATGTTGTATTTCATAATAGAATACAAAGCTAATTTACATTGTGCCCCCTCA